TCTCCTACCCCAAGCTTCCCACAACTTTACTCCCAACAAAGCTTGCACAGGCTATTTTTTTCTTTCTCTCATTTCCCCCTCATTTTTTTTTTTTGGCTTTATTCTTTTTTTTTTTTCCCTGCAAACAGCTCTCTGTCCTCATCAATGTAAATTAAACAGTCTTAACTGAAGTCCTCTCAGTTCCTTCCTCCTTAACCATTACTCCAATCTGCCCAATAATAGCTTACATAGGAACTGAGCTAGCAAAGATGGAGTTCTCCCTGGGGAGATGGGTGGGAGGGGGAGACTGAACAAAGTTGCAATGGTTTCTCAATTAATATTTTGTCCCTGTTAACATCTAGCTTCTGGTAAGCTAAAGAAACTGAGAAAACAATAATACTAGGGATGAAATGAAAAGCTAGTGAGCTCATTCACAGATCTTTCTACTGCTCTTATTAATTGCTCAGGCTTTGTTGAAAATGGAATAGGCAGAGCTGCCTAGTTATGATTCTTTGGGCTTCAGTGGTGCGACTTCACTTCATGCAGTCCCTGCTGTGGCAGAATGAAAGTAAGCAACAGGCCAATGGGAGACTAACTATACTGTGGAAAGTAATGATAGACTTTTCATCTGGAGTTGTATAGTTTTTCAGGAAAATTCAAGATAAATTATACTCATTGTGTAAAACTTCCAGGTCCGCAAGCAAAAGCAACAGAAGGAATCCTCCTCTATTAGTTGTAGGATAAATTGATCTCCATTGCTTGAAATAGTGTTACAATCGATCTGCCAGTAATTTCAATAATCAAAATAATACTGTTATTTATTGAACAACTTCTATGAGCCAGTGTTCTAATTATGTATTGCTGCATAACAAATCAACCAAAACTTAATGGCTTAAAGCAACAATTTATTATTATCTCTCACGGTTCTATGTGTCGACTAGGCTCAGCTGAGCAGTTCTCACTTGGGGATTCTCACGCAGTTGCGGTCAGATGGAAGCTAAGGCTCGACACATCTGAAGGCTAGACTGGGCTGCAAGTCCAAGAGGGCTCACTTGCATGGCTTGCACTTGATGCTGACCATGGACTGATCAGTTGGGGCTGCTGGCTGTACTCCCTACAGATGGCCTCCCCCGGTGGCTTGGGCTCAGTGGTGTGCTGGATCCAGCTTGTGATGTACTGGAGACAGCTTGTACCAGCCTGTGAGAACCAATTAGTAAATTTGGGGGAATTTTGTGAGCTGGTTGTTAAATACAGCCATTATTAAAAATTGAATTATATAAACTTACAATTAAATCATATGAAAACAATGATTCTCGAAACTCATCACTTTCTAGTTATTTTGCTATATTTTACTGATCTATGTTTTTGTGATTATTTACATATATTGTATCTGTGTGTGCATCTCTTACTGACTTCTTAGTTCAGTGACTATACGTCGTAGTTTGTATTCAGCCATGGAGGGAGTATTACATCATGAAAATCGGCAAATGCTACAAATCGGTACCCTTTTTTTGGGTAGAGCTAATTGTTAAATATTTTTCAGCACATCACTGTTTAGACTTCTTACAATATGCTGTCTGGGTTCTGAAAGGAAGCATCCCAAATGAGAGTGTACCAAGAGAAAGGATGCAGAAACTTTCAGTCTTCTTAAAAGTTAGTCCCATAATTGGCATTGTCACTACTGCCAAATTCTACTGGGCTAAACATTAACAAGCCAGCCCTGACTCAACTCCCTATTGACAAGGAGTGAATAGGTTGGTGGGCATTTTAGAGACAAGATGCAACAGCAAGGCATTATACATGCATTTTCTTATTTATTCATCACAATAACCTCCATATTACTCATGGGGTACTCATATTATCCCCTTTCTACAAATTAAGAAATTAAGACACTGAGATTCTAACCTACCTCTGACTCCAAAGCTTGAGTTCTTCAATATCACTTTTTGCTACAACATCTTTGCCTTTGTTCCTTGTCTCCACAGTGCTGGGGGTTAGAACAGCTGTGCTTTGCAATCCTTGTACCTGACCTCCTGGGAATTACATTGTTTTCTCTTAATCACTCATTATCCTACCCTGATCGTGGGATGGACACAGACAGGAGACAGTTTTGTGAAAAGTTCTAGCCAACATTAGAGCCTGATGCATCTTTAATATCATGGAGATAACAGAAATTGAGCACAGGAGAGAACCCAAAGGACTTCGAAATAAGGGTACCTTTTCTAACCTTGTTATATTAAGGAGTTAAGAAAAATGAGCATTTAGGTAGGAGAAGTGAAGAGCTCTTCTCGAACCAAGATCTCTAATGCCTGTTAGCAAGATTTAAAGCTAAAGAAAATAGATTCAACGTGAATACATTTTTCTTTCATTTATATTGGACTCATTGTTCATTAAGTTCCTAACTTACAAGGAGGAGAGAAGGATTCCATCAAAGCTAATAAACTTGGTAGTTTACTTTTCGGTTATATACATTACAATCACCAAACAACTGTTCTCTTACTCCACAGTAATTTTTTTTTTTATAAAGTGACTTCTGACAGTCAATTTTCTAAAAATCCCAACTCAATGTAGTGTTTTTGTTGTTGTTATGCTGTTGTTACTTTTTCTTCCACAAGAGAAAATTCTATTAGCATGTCTAAAGAAAATGTGTCACTCGGAAGGAGGGAGGTCAGCATGAAACTCAGAACCTCTCTATCTTTCCATCCACTCACTGCAAGCTGCAACACTCCCTATTGCCCTGACTCATGATTTCTGATCTAGGAATCATCAGAGCTGTGCTTGCTTTTCTAATTCTTGACAAGGATCTCAAACTTGCATCTTCTGCAAGGAAGACAAGTCTGAGAAGTTCGTGCCTCAAATTCCCTGGCCCTTCTTCAAGGCACTGGAATGCCTGTTCCTCAATTTACAACAATTCATCATGGGAGGGACCTATTTTATGCAGTGGAGACACATCTGACAAAGTTGTCTATAAGGAAAACAGATTTTTATGTCTGGTGAGGGCCCACTTCCTGGTTCTTAGCCATCTTTTCTCTGTAACCCCACATGGAGAAAGGGGCAAAGGAGCTGTCTGGGGCCTCTTTCGTAATGGCACTGGTCGCATTCATGAGGGCTCCACTCTCAGGACCTGATCATTTCCCAAAGGCCCCATCTCCAAATGCCATCACTTTGGGGTTAGGATTTCAACATAGGAATTTGGGGAGCATACACACATGAGTCTACAGCATACACCTCACCAAAGAAGATATACAGATATAGCAACTGAAAATATGAAAAGTTATTCAACATCATATGTCATTAGGGAATCGCAAATTCAAATAACAATGAGATACCACTACACACCTATTAGAACGGCCAGAATTTAAAACGCTAACAACACCAAAGGCTGGGGAGGATATGGAACAACAGGAACTCTCATTCATTGCTGGTGGGAATGCAAAATGGCATATCCACTTTGGAAGGCAGTTTGGCAGCTTCTTACAAAACTAAACATACTTTTATCATACAATTCAGTAATCTCACTCCTAGTTGTTTACTCAACTGAGTCGAAAACTTACATTCATACAAAAACCTGCACATGAATGTTTATAGCAGCTTTATTCATAATTGCCAAAGCTTGGAAGCAACCAAGATGTCCTTCAGTAAGTGAATGGATGAGTAAACTGTGGCACATCCAGACTATGAATTTTATGATACGTAAATACCTTCATTAAAAAGTTTTTAAGCTACATTGAGATATCAATTTTTGCTTATCAAATCACTAAAGATCCAAAAGTCTGATACCATGCTGTGTCAGTGAAAGTGTTCTCAAACGGGCACTTACACACCTTACGTGTGGGAGTATAAATTTAAGTGACACTTTGCAACAAATTTTGTTAACCAAATTCATGCAAATGCAACATGGCATCATCAGTCAACATCCTAAAGTTGAACAATGAGGCATTAAGTGTGGATTGCCCTATCATTCTAAGGTGCATTGGCTATTGCAGGGACAGGTGTTAGCCAAAATTTTGTCTCTGCGAGAATAGATAGTTAAATTTTATGAAGAACAGAATCAGCAATGTGAATTATTGAAAGAAGATTTCTGTAGGAATACAGCATTTCTGTGTGATATGTCAAACCAAAATGACTTGAATATTTCTTTGCAAGGTAAAACTAAGTCTATATATGATATGTTTGAAAAAATCCAAGCATTTTGAAAAAAGCTATCTTTTTTCCAAAACATTTCTTCAAAAGGAAATTTCAGATGAACATTTTCCCGTTAGCAAAGGTCATTGATGAGCAGGATGATATATGTGAATGATCTGAAGAATACACAGCTGTTATAGACCTATTAATTGGAGATTACAATGAAAGTTTCACTGACTTTGAGAGTTATGACATCACATTCAAATTAGCATTTCAGCCTCACCTAGTTGATATCACCAAGGCACCTAAAGAACTACAGATGGAATTGATTAAGCTCTCAGTAGATTACATTTTAAAGTCATTTTCTGATGCTAAGGAAGATCCAATCGAAATATGGAAAAATGCAGAATATTCATGTCTTCGGCAGCATGCCCGAAAAACACTTTCTTGCTTTTCGACCACTTATTGCTGCCAATCTACGTTCTCCTACCTAACCCAAATCAAGACGTCCTTAAGGTCACAAATGACTGATGCCCATCTAGAGGATCAGCTGAAACTGCGGACCTCCATGCTGCAACCAAATATTCAAATGCTTTCCAACAAAAAGCAGACACGACAAAGTCATTTAAAGGTTTAACTTTAAAATTAACAAATAGTTTTCATTTTTTGAAATTATTAAGTACATAGTAGTTAGACTTTTACAAAATAATATACTTTTTAAGTATATCTAATTGAAGTTTCTTGAATGTGGCCTTATTTGATTACAGCTAAATTAATGCGGCCCTCCAGCACGAAAAGTTTCTCCACCCCTGGACTGTACTCTGTCTGGTTTTAAGTCCAGTAGGCAAACTAACTGAGGTTCCATGATTTCTCTGATGTGTGCAAAACAATCTTACCATCACTTATGGTAATATCACCAAGATCCACAATCTTGTCAGGGAGTCCTGGAAGCAATTTGCATTGTTCGAACCTTGGTTTTTCCCACTGAGCTTTGCCTGTGTTGAGGCTGATTGAACTGAAAAAGAGAGGAGAGAGCTTTTTCACTGGAGGATGAGGCAGGGATAGTCTTAAAGCAAATGGTGAAAGAATAGGTGTATCTTTGTCTTGTCTTCCCCTCACCTGTTCCCAGACTCCTGGCAGAGATAGCAAAGGTGGGAAGCCATTGCTTCTTTGCAAATTGAAGAAAACTTTGCTCTTAGGGAGCAAGTCAATCTAGGGTCAACATGCAGGGAGGATAGATAAATGGGCAAGAGAGCCAGGAATGGGGCATGGCAATGTCCAGCTGAACAAGAGTCAAGGCAGAGATGTTGCCCCCTTAGACATGACTTCTTACCCTCATGTTCCCTTTTTATCCCTATTTTTAGGGGAAATTCCTATTGGAATGCTGTCTCTATCTCAGTATATTAAGTTACTCAAGGCCCTCGTTATCTACCCTCCCCCATGCCTCATCCATTTCAACCAGGTTCATTTCAAGTCGGCTAACATATTTATTGAGTGAGTACCCACTGTGTTCTAGGACTGGTAATAGGGAGCACAGACAAACAGGACAGGGCCTCAGTCCTCCCCCCAGGAGCCTGTGATTCCGTGGTTTAAGACTGTAAATCGTGTTCTACCATTAGGCCAAATATGAGATGAAAAGCTGTATAAACAGAACTGAATCTATCAAACCACCAAGCAAGGAGAAGTTATTTTCCACGTTTAAGCTGAGCTGAGTGCTGAAAGGACAGAGATAGAGAAAGAACCCCCTCCACCCCAAGCAGAGCAAACAGTATAAGCAGAGAAAAAGACACGAGGAAGAGCCCATTGAGTCCAGAACAGCAAATGGTCTTTTTCACTGGAGCTCATGGTAAAAGGTGGGAGATTGCTGAGTGAGATAGCAGGAAAGGGAGCCTGCAGTCTGGAGGACTGTATTTAGGGGTTTGGACTTGATTGTTGAGGCAATGTAGCAGTGGCATGATGACAGCCATACTTCAGGACAATCATGCTGGCAGCAGTGTGGCACATAGATGGGCAGCAATGGACAGTGAGAGGGCAAGGAGACTGCTCTAATAGTGGGCAAAAGATAGTAAAGGGCTTACACCAGGGTAGTGGCAGTGGGGTTAGAAAGGAAAGGCTAAACGTGTGCTCTAACTGTGATCATCAAAGCTGCATGACTTGCTGGCTGATGAGATGTAAGGGGGAAAAGGTAGGATGCAGTCCTCAATATTGCTTTCTGAAAGAGTGCTTTTAAGCCTCTGTCAAAACCTGCTGCCCCCCGGTCTTATCCACTTAAGGTAATGGCATAAACCATTAACAGCAGAGAGTAAGAAAAGAGGGCTGATGATTTTAGAAAGGAAAATGATAAAGTCAACAATAGAAGCATGATTTAGTAAATTATTATGGCCCATCAACTAGATAGTTTCCAAGGTCATTTTTTGAAATGATCATTAAGAAGATGAATGTAAAACATGGAAAATGTTTGATAAACCACTGAGTTGAAACGGCAAATCACATTATTGATATGAGTGCAGTGATTACCACTACATAAAACTTAAAGGCACACAAAGAAAGGATAATGCAAAAAAAAAAAGAAAGAAAGAAAAAATATGCCAACCTAAAAACAGCTGTGCTCAGGCAGTAGGGTTGTGGGTGACTTTTTTTTCTTTGTCTTCTCCTTTGTCTTCTTGAAAATTCTTCTTATTCTGTTGCATGTGTACATTTAAGTAGGTCCAAAAGGCGAAAGAAAGACTGGCAGTACAGGTGCAGGCAGAGAGCATATTCAGGCAAACGACATAGAAACATGGCCCTGATTGAACAGATCTTTGTGTATGTGAACCAGCAATTAGAACTCGGCCTGTACATACCAGATTCTTGTGGCGGTTCCATCCTCATTTTTTATGCATCTAGTTTGTGCTGTCTCCGTAGGGTTGGTTAATGGCCACTTATATGTCCCTTTGTATTTAGAGGGTGTTTCATCGGCTTGGCACTTTCCTGGATCTACAGGAAAAATGTATGCACATTTTAAAGGGCAAGAGACACCTGAAAGTACCCTGAACACCCATTATGGCACATCATTATTACCCTGCACATAAACATCATCAAATAAAAGAGGAAAGTTTTTCTGCCAAGCCATTTAAGCCAGGCTTCATTGAAGATAGCATTAAATGGAGTCTTTAAAAAAAAAAAAAAATAAGCCACCCGGTGTAACTGCATGCTTTGTCCTTTTCATTTAAAACCACCAGTTGACAGGAGAATTTTTTGTTTTGCTTTGTTTTGTTTTAAAGAATGCATATGCATTGAAAAAATTCAAGCCACACAAAGGGGTATAAAGTAAAAAGTCAAAAGATACCACCTACCAATTACCCAGCTTCTGAGGTACACCCTATTATCACTTTGATGTACGAAGACAGGAGGCTGTAGGCAGACTTCTCTCTCTGGAAGGCCCCTCCCTTCCTAATGGACTCTGGGGTGGATTGGGTTTTACTACACTCAGTGTATCTGACATGACCAATATATACAGGGGAGCACTGTTTCTGGTGCTGGTGCTGAGGTACAGGGTGAACTCCTCCACAGAGGGCTGCTAGGGCAAGGTTTTGCTGCCAGGCATTGTGACATTAAGCGAAGTGTGACCTGGGCTAAGGCTATGTGATAAGTTCCCAGTTTTTACTGAGCACCCAGCAGGTGCGTGACTCTGATTCCAGAAGTCTTTCACTCAGGTGTTGACTGAGTGGCCCAAGAAGTGGCCCAGCCAGCCTTGCCCAGTGACTCCAGTTTCCCCTCTGAGTGAGGGTGAAAGGTGCCTTCCTCTAGCACTCTCAGGACGCATTCATCAGCGACATTTGTATGGTGGGCTCTCCCTGTAGCTTCAACATTTCTCTGCCTTCCATCTCACTCTCACCCTTGCACAATCACAGCCTGCCCTCTGCTACTTAATTAGTCTGTCGCCAAGGATTGTGCATTCTAATGCCCATGTGTGTTATCTGGGTGAGCTCAACGTTACACTACAGTCTACTGGGGAAAAGGAACAAAGCTGCAATAGGGAGGAGATAGAGTGGCCTGGTAGCCTTTCTCTTTTACCATTAAGACCTTGCTAATCTGAAAATGCCAATGAGAAAAATCTGGGACATTTCCCAGATCACTTGCCAAGATGAATAAGATGGCTGAATCAATCAATAAATTAGCAAATATCTATTGGGCATCTATTGTGTGTAATGAGGAAGCTCTTCAGGTCTCTGGGCCTTTATGCAAGAGAGCCAATCCTCCCACTCAATTGATGGTCTGGCCTCTGCTAATAGCCAGAGCCAACTAACAGTCTCTGGTAGCCCCTCCAGCACTCTGTTCTTTCATAAGCTCTTAGAGGTAGAAAGGTCAAGTGGGTATTGAGGATGTAGAAAGGAACATAAAGGCGACTTCTTTTCTCTTTGAACTCAGAATCCCTTACCATGTATGCATTATGAGTTTTATAAGGGAAGTAAATTCATACTGAAATACCCCCTAGCCCCCCAAATTACCTAGTTTTTTCACCGCAATATGTTCAGACTTTACTAATAACGTCAATTGAGCTTGCGTGAAGTTTCCATGAGTGAAGTTGCCAAGTATTTTACTTTTGATCCTGCTAATCAATTCAGCGGGTGCTAAGGAACAGTTGGCCTTTATGATGACCTGACAGACACAGCTAAAAAGCAGAGCAAAAAATAAAAATGTAGCAGTTTTATCAACAGAGGGCAACTTGGCTTGCGGTGCTGAAATTCTGTACAGCTGACTTAATTGGTAGTTTATAAATGTCAAACATTTTAAAGCTATTAAGTGGAAATTCTTAAGAAGTGATGGAAGAAATCTTGATACTGAAATCTTCTGATAAATTTTCTCGTGTCCAAAACAGACAATTCAAAACCTATTTCAAAAGAATGGCCAGAAATATTTGCATTATGTCGAAATTGGCTGGCCATGAGACTTCTCTAGGAGTTTGTATTAATTAATAGAGAAGATGGAGTACTCAGGATTTATTATTTCAGAGACAACCTTTTATTCTCTGGTCTCCAATTTACCCATCATTTTTGCAATAAGGCAAATAGGCACATGCTCAGTTAGTCTATAAAGAAGTGTGCTGCAGATGGCCTATTTCTATAATAGAATAATAGTAGTAATAAGAGCTAATATTTGTGAAGCTCATGCTCCACATGTTTTGCTTCATTTTATCCTCACGACAACATTATGAGGTCATGCTATTATTATTCCCACACTACAGATGAGGGAACTGAGCCTCAGGGCGATGACATTTTCCATGGTCACAAAGACCTATCCAGTATTTCTGTCCATGGAATAGATAGGTTATAAAAGAATTGGACTGTTTTTGAACTCATCCTCTATAGTGAGGTCCTCCAACATTCTAAATTCCTTTAATATTTCATTAGGGAACACATTTCAGATTTGCAAATTTACCTATACCCTTTTTTTCCCATTTCCATTTGTAGATACAGCTTTTTAAAGAATACATTTGCTAAGTTTCCAACCAAGTGTTGAAAGTTAGATGTATTAATACCCGTGTTTACTCAAAACTTCTCTTTATGTCCAATCTAAGTCATGCCTCCCCCTCCCCTGATCCATATTTGGTGAAGTCCCTGTGCATGCTGCCCATTTCATTTGGAGCCCGTCACTTCTCAGCTTCCCAGTCTGAAGAGGGCTCTTCTTTTTAAACCTCTCCTCTTGCTTGCAACAGACCCTCTACTCCATTTTGGTGCCCTCTTCATGCATCTTCTTTGGCTGTATGTCCTTCGTGATGGGCATCAAGCACAGCAATAATAGCCAGTGTTCCAGGAGGAACTGGACCACAAGTCTAAACAGAACCAAGGCTACTTTCCATGTTTTTCAACTTCCCTGCTCAGTATTTTTTGAACCTTTTTGACCACGACAAACACTTTATTCCCCCATCCCCAAATTATGACCACTTTGGACCCCATTTTCTCTTCACTACAAAGAGGCAGCAGACAGGCTGCTAGGCTATGCTGTGACCAAACAAAATAGCTTATTTAATGAAGGCAAGAGCCCAATTACAGCATCTGTAAAATAACCACTGGGTACTTTGATCTCCTTCCGACAACTCTGACCGACAGGCTGCACATACAGAATTAAATGAAATGAAAATCAGAACTAAATGTACCAGCTATGAATAAACTCAGCTCCTACCTGTATAGTACATGGGAAATTGTAGCCATTCCTTGCCCTTCTCTCTGTTCCAACTAATGCAAAAGAAAAGTACATAGTCACTGAAATCTTTAAACAAATGTCACAATCGAGTACAAGGAGTATTGTTAACAACAATTATAATTGTGTCTTACATTTATGTAACCCACTGCCATCTGCAAACCACCCTCAAAAACATCAACGCATTTAGACCTCATACCAACCCTGTAGGATGGGCAATGCAGGCATTGTCACCCCATTTTCTAGATGAGGAAGCTGAGTCTCAGAGAAGTTAAATGATCTGCCCAGTATCACACAACTGACAAGTCACAGAGCTGAGAGCAGGATCTAAGCCTTCTGGATCTGGATATTAACATGATGGTGACAATAGTAAACACTACTAAACCTCTGCTACGTTCTAAGCCCTATGCTAAATGCTTAACATAAACTATCTCATTCTATCCTTCCAACAGCCTTCATCTTACAGATGAGGAAACTGAGGCACAGAGAGGTTAATTAAGTTGCCTGAATTTTCATAGTCAGGAAGTAGAAAAGCAGGGGTTCCAACCCAAGAAACTTGACCACATTATCACCAAACAGCTTTTACAACTATTATTTGACAGAAATTTTAGTTATATCATGCTATCTCTAATGTGTTAAATCTTAAAATTCTGACTTGGCTATTTATAGAAAGTATTTTAAATGATGGCAGATAATTTGGAATGGATTGTAGCCTTGACTGTATTTTGTATAGTCAAAATATTTATCTTGTACTTAAACACCTTGAAAGCTGTGTGCTTACTAATCATTTTAGAATGTACCATTGTAAAGCTTTGAGGGACTGGAATAAGTGCTGAGAACTGGGGCAAGGATGACAAGAGATTGTTTTGTCACTCTCTGACTTCAAATCTATATGCACAGAGGGTGAATTTATTGTGTGAATGCCAGTCTTGCAAACAATTGTGTCACTCTTGGAAGAGCCAGGCTTTTTTTGAAAGATGTCTACAAGCAAGAAATTCCACTTACCGCTTACAATCCCCAAGTCATTTCACACTCCCATAGACCACAAAATGTGCCTTGAAAAACTGCCACATGGATAGTTCAGAAAAGCAGGAGATGATTTTCTTGATGGGTTCTTGTGCCAATCCCAAAGAAAGCAATGCAGTTTGACCCTCGGTTGTCACAACTGAGCCTTGCCTGATAACATACACTCAGGTGGAAGAACTATTTACTTACATCTAATCAGGTATAGGATGGATCACAAGTAGATTTGTTTTGAAAAATTACTTACGATAGCTCGATCCATGGCCATCTCTTCCTCCAAAATGTCTCTGTATCAAAAGCATTACAAAATTATAGAAAAATGAAATATAATACCAAATACACAGAACACAAGAACAGGAGAAAGACAACTCTGAGGCAGAAGAGTAGAATCCTCCCAGCTTGGAATTCAAATAGAGCTAAGGCTCCAAAGGGACACTTTGAATGAGCTTGATTATTATTTGCATACCAAAATGCTGGTAAGCCTTTGACTTATTAATTCTGCTTCTGGGAATCTATCCCATAATGGTACGAGCAAAGGTGCATAAAAATATACATACAAAGGTGGAAGTTACTCAAATGTCTATCACTAGATAATTGGATAAATACATCTTGGTCCATACATACAGAAGAATCCCGTGTAGTTATTCAAATGAATAAGCAAGATCTATATGTTTTGGCCTAAAAAGATGTACACGATGTGTTATAAAGCAAGAAAATAAAGTTGTAAAATACTATGTAGAGCAGGATTTTATTTTCTTAATAAATGCATGAAAACAAATCTAGAGAAATTTATCAAATAAGCTGTTAACAGGAATTCCTGGAAGGGTGGAGGAAGGCAGGGATTCAGAGATTTTCACTATCCGTGTTATATATAATATTTCTGTAAAGCGCTAAGATTTTACAATGGCTACACATTACTTTTCTGATAAGGAAAACCGACAGACACAATTTTTAAAAGAATGTTGTATAACACAGACATCTCCAATTTTCTTTTATTAACTATTATGGACTGAATGTTTGTATCCTCCCAAAAGTCATATGCTGAAGCTTAATCCCCAATGTGATGGTATTAGGAGGTGGGGCAGAGCCCTCCTGAATGGGATTGACACCTTTATAAGAACAGGCAGGAGAGCTTCCTCTCTCTCTACTCTCTGCCATGTGAGGACACAGCAAGAAGAGGTCTCTCACCAGACACTGAACCCACCAGAGCTTTGTTCTTGGACTTCCCAGCCTCCAGAACTGTGAGAAAAAAATGTCTGTGATTTAAGCCACCAGTCTATGGTATTTTTGTTATAGTAGCCAGAACTGACTAAGACAATAACCAACCATGGATTTACTTCCATTCATTTATAAGAATATTCTTGAACCTATTTATATTTGAACATGTAAGAGAAACCAAAATCCCAATGTACAAAACATAGGCTGTCACATTTAGTGTTTTAAAAATCAGCCTATCATGACTTAACAGAGTCATGCCTATTTTTCAAAGGGCTTCTTCTGGGGGTCCCTTTAACAGTGGACTAGTATATGTGCAGGGCAAGAGTAGAGGAAGTATTTCTCAGGTGACCAATTGCCTTTGCCATGGTTTTCTTGACACCACTCAGTGCCTGCCCATTTCACTGTAATCACCTCTGGAAATTTGTGCTCCAAGCAAGTTTCGGACTAATCAACATTATCACTTTAAACATTTCAAGTTCCCTTTGGAATTTCTATTTCCTGAAAGTACATCATCCAAATATAAAAGGCTTTATAAATCCTTGTGCATTGGCCATGCCTAGTCTTTCATCCCTTTAAGGCATGATTTTTTCCCTAAGTCACAGAATCATAGAATTTTAGAGATTAAAGTGGCATTAGAGGTAACTCGGTCTAATTCCCTTGCTTCCCCTATTTATTTTGTTTTGTTTTGTTCTCCCATTGGCTTTCCGCCCTACAGTAATAATACAAAGATCTTCTTCATTCCAAAGAGGATTTATACTCAGAAAGGAAAACACAATGAGAAATGTGACAGCCCCGAAATCCCAGACATAAACAAAGGAAAACCCCTCCGGATAGGAACAGACCCACAGTAGATGTCATTCACATACCTGCTTTTAATTTGGATGGTCAGATTAGTAATAGAAAATTCACTGTCCTGAAATACAGAATTCAACTGTACAAGACAAAAAAAATCAGTTTTAGTATTCTGCTCCTCTATTTTAACCCAGCAAAGTCACCTGGGATGTCATGATCATTAAGCTACATTCATTATTGCAGCAGGCTCAACACTTCCATCTGTTCCACTCATTCTTTCAGTTTACGTTTTACCCAATGTTGCAGGCTCAATTAATTGTGTCCCCCTAAAATTCAAATATTGAAGCCCTAACCTTGATGTTATATTTGGCGATAAGGCCTTTAGAAAGGTCATTAAGGTTAAATGAAGTCATAAAGGTGAGGCCCTACTCCAATAGGATGGGTGCTCTTAAAAGAAGAGGAAGAGGGACCAGGGATGCGTGCACACAGAGGAAGGACCATGTGAGGACACAGCAAGAAAGTGGCCATCTGCAAGCCAAGGACAGTGGCCTCACCAGAAACCAACCCTGTCAACACCTTAATCTTGGACTTCTAGCCTCCAGAACCGTGAGGAATGAAATGTCTGTTGTTTAAGCACCCAGTCTGTGGTATCTTGTTATTGCATCCTGAGCAGACTAATACACCCACCCATTTTAAAGCACTTATAATCATGTCATATACATTTGAAAATAAGTGCTGATAGGGAGAGTTGGCAAGCATATGATCATTCATTGTTGGGAGGGTGCAAGTTAGTATCACCTATCTGGGAGGCCATTTAGTGATAGCTATTAAAATGTAAAATGTTTACATTCTTTGGCCTATCACTTCCAATTTTAGGAATTGATCCTATAGAAACACTCAAGTGCCCTGAAATCTGTTGCAAGGGCCTTGTTTTCAGCATTGTTTCTAAATAGAAAAAAAATAGAAAAAACACAAATATCCATCAATGGATGCCTGGATTAAAAAAATACTACATCAAACCATGTAGTGAAATCCTACGTATCTATTAAAAGTGTATGATCTATATTCACCAGCATGAATATGCTCAAAGATGCATGGATAAGTGGGAGAGAAAGCAAGTCGAAGAGCAGCATGATTAGTATAATTCTAATTATTTTGTAAAAGAACACACATGCATCAATGTTATAATATGTGCTGAAAAAAATCTAAAAGAATATATCTTAAACTATTAAGAGGAGTTTAAACTATTAAAATGAAGTAGCCTTAAAAAGGACATTTACTTTCTGGGTTTTAGATGTCAATATCTGAATTTTCTACAGAGAGCATATATTAGTTTTGTCATCAGAAAAAATATAAGGATAAATAAAACATTCATTGTGTTGGAGATAGAAAAAAATAAAATGCAGGAAACAAAAATACTTAAATACAATGGCATAGACTTTGTTATCACTGCTCTCCTACTTTCCCCAAATGGGAAAATTTGGCAAAGGCTCAGAATTTGTGTCAGTGGAGGGAAATGTACAGATATAAACAAATGAAAATAATAACGGTCCATAAAAGCTTTCAGCATTGGTACTATGAAAGAGAGGTTGCATACATCCTCATGGTGTTGCTTACAGAGTAGACAGATTTGCAGCGAAAAAAAAAAAATTAAAACTAATTACCTGTGAAATAGATTATTGGTAGAAAAAAGTAAAGCCTAGTTTTAATCTATTCAGTCTTTGTCATATATATATTCACATATGTTTATATGTACCATTAATATTCAAAATATTATTTTACCCAATTTTTTGTAAATTCATTTATAACACTGGTAATAGGGATCCTTGGCTCTTCATCAAAGACAGAGAAGCTCATTTCAGTATTGTAGAAGGAAACTGTAATTAAAAATAATGAGGTTAATTTCATTCATTAGTTCAAAAAAATTGACTTCTCTAAATTTGGTTAAAAGTGCTCTCCATATTAAAGCAAACCAAACAATGATGTCTCATTCCTAATCTTTGCTTAATTTAACTCCAAAGTCAAGAACCAGCTCTTTCAGCTCCATATCAAAAAGCAAAACAGGATGTTACCATCCTATTTTTGCTTTAATTTTTTAGGCATTTCCCTGATTTCCACACAGTTGATAGACTTTCTACAAATCCTACAAATTCTGCACTTTTATTGGTCAATGGATTTTCAATTCATCCAGTTGTCAAGCTGGACATTATTTCACCAGATCATTTGTCCTGAGAAAATAACTGTATTTTTCTTCCTGTGCCTTCCTTTCTGCTTCAGGTTATTCTCTCCTTGTTTCCCTCTTGCTCTTGTATATCCTATCAAATTTCTATTTTGGAATATTAAAAGTTACAAGAACATTCAAAATTTGAACAATATTAAAATCAAATACTCCCTGGCCATGGGTAAATTTTCCTAGTGAACTAGAGATGGGGATTGGAGAAGGCTGAGACCTGCATAAGAGGAATTCAAAGGGCAAGACAGGACATTTCTTGGTGTTTTCTGGGGTGTGGTCAACATGGTCAAACCTAAGACCATGTGATCCTCTCACTGGGAAGAGGTGAAGTTTCTAGCACATGTTCACATTGGCAGAATCAGAGTCAGAACATGGAGAACAAAATGGGAAGAAAGGAGGCTTAGAAATTGTTGTGTTGAATGAAAAGATACATTTGCATTATATTTCAATAAAGCAGACACGAGAAAGATGGCTAAAGAATTCTGTATTTGGACAAGGTACCCACTGTCCAAAAGAGATAAGAAACACCCGCGCCCTTCTTCATTCTTTTCTGCCTTCATAGGACTGGCCACCTTGGAAAACACGTGGCTCATTGTGCATGCATCTGTAAGGATATGCTGCACACATTCTGGAGCAGTACCTGTGGACTTAGCAGCAATAGGCGAAGTTGATGCTTCCGTAGATACAAAGGATGGTGTGGAGTCCAGCCAGGATGCCTCAAAAGAGGAAGATACTAGCGAAGACACAGTTGTTGTAGAAGGATGTGTCACTCTGGTGGATATGAGTGGAAATGAGGCTCCAGGAGCAGCAGATGTGGTAGTGATTATATTTAGAAGGGAGTCCAGTGTGGGCTTAGGAAAAATTAAAGTAGCAGGTGCTTCTGTAACTGGAATTCTACTCCATGCAGATGTTATTATAGGGCTAGGCAGAGGCATGGAACCAACAGATAGGGTGTGGTCAGTTGCAGAAGGTAACATACTCATTTCACTGAATAATGGAGGTTCAGACACAGTCCTAGAGTTGGTAGTCACAGGGGTTCTGGATGCTGCCTCAGGGGATGTGGAAATGTACACACTGTCATCTGTGATTTTTATAGACATAGGGAGAGAAGTTGGGAAGCCAGTAGTGATACTACCTATTGTAGGTGCAGGAGTGGTTTGGATGAGTATGGTGCTTACAGTAGGAAAAGGTAGCGTTGTAAGGTTAGTGAATGGATACATTGGCATTGTGTCAGGAGTCAGAAATGTGGATTTTGACACCTCAACTGTAGAAGAAGTTATGATATGAGGAGCATTAGATACAGTTGCCAGAGGGGGGCCTGAAGAGAGACTAGATAAGATCCAAGTCATCATGGGTGAAGTAGCAGCCTTCAAGATTATAGGTTCTGAAGTGGCACCAGAAGGCTTTGATGGGAGTGTGGCCCCAGGAGATACAGATGTGATTGTTTTCTCAAACATGTGCTTAATGTCAGCCAAAGTGGTAGGGATAGCTCCTGAAGATGTTGATAATGAAAGGTTCTCAGAAAGCCCATAGGTAGGAAGAATTCCTGTGGTGGGAATTGATGACATTGCCATAACATCTCTAGATACTAGACCAGTCTGAGAGGCTGTGAATGTTGACAAAGACCCAGGGACAAGGTGTAGAGTCTCTGTTTCCATCTCATTGGGTGTAGGTACATGAGTAGTAGTGGATATTTGAAACTGAGAACCTTCAGCTGTGGGTGTCTTCCAGGAAGTCATATGCAGAGACTGGGTGTTACTAGATGTGATTCTTGTTTCCAGAACTGGAAATTCAACCATTTGGGATGTAAGAGGAGCAGAGGTCTTTGGAGTGGAGAGCTTGGCTTCAGTACTATGAAGTGAATATGGAAATGATGTCAAAGAGGGTGGAGTTGCACTGGATGGGATCCATGGAGGGTATGAAACAGGGGTACTCACAGACTTGGCACTTTTTGTTACTTCAGCTGCTAAGGAAGTATTTTCTGACAAGGAAGCCGTCTCTCCTGTATTAGAAGAAATATAAGTGGCAGTGTCTTTTACACTTTTTGTGGATCCAGGACTGTTATTAAAGGCAGTCAAAGATGTGGAAACCTGAATCTCTAAGGAAGTATGAAGATTATCTGAAGGAGTAGGCGAAAGCACATTTTCGGGGACAGTGGTTCTGAAAGAAGTATTTGTGATGGCTGCCACTCTACTACTGCTCATGGCAGATAGGGAGCTGTTAGTAATCCCAGGTAATATGCCCAGAGTTGTAGCCTCATCTCCTTGTGATGAGTGTTGGGTTGTTAACAAAAATGGTGAAATTGTGGTCTTTGGAATGGAGGAAATAGCTTCAGTGTTCTTAGAACTGTGTAGATAGGTGGGAGTGGTGCCTACAAATGGAGTCATTGTCCCAGCCATAATAGTGGTTGGAATGGTTTTCACAGAGGGAAATGTTGGCTCTGTTGGAGAAGAAGAGGATGTAGCTGTGATCCTCAAAGGTACCTCTATCATTTCTGAAGTAGTGAGAGCAGAGGAAACCATTGTGCTTTTTGAAGTAGACTCAGCATATGTAACAGGTGTCTTATCCAATGTAGATGTTTGTATGGTCATAGTAGTCCTAGGGATAATTGAAGACAATAGAGTAGAGAATGACCCAACTGTTGTGGAAGTGTCAGAAGAAACTGCTGTGGATGAGAAAACAGAGTCATTAACTGGCATGGAGGACATCTCAGACATAGGCTCAGAAGTGGCTATAGAGGGACTTTTCAAACAATCTGGGTGTGTTGTTTTAGAAGGCTTAGTTATTAGTATTGTGGGTGTGTCAGAAACTTTTTTGGAGGTGAAGGCAGTGACATTAACTGGCAACGAGGACATCTGGTAAATAGGAATGGATGTTGCCACAGAGGTTTCCCTAATAAGTGTCGTAGGTACATTTGGAACAGAAAGGGCTGGAGTGATCCTATCAGTAGAGATCATTGTAAAATTGGTGTTATATAGTCCGATTGTGGAGAGAGATGAGGACTCAGGGAAAGTCTGTGTGCTTTCAGAAATGGAAGTGGCAACTGAAGTCGCCTCAGGCTGTGTCCTAAGTGAAGGTAAGTGTGAAAGAGTTGTGGCGATGTTCACAGGATTTGATATTCTGGTTGTTCTGTAAGTTGTAGTATCTACAAATGAAGTATCTTGGTGGTATGCGACAGGGTGTGTCACTGAGGTGGAGCTTACTATCATTTCCACAGTCCTGGGAGTATAAACTGAAAGGGCACTCATGCTTTCTTTTTCAGGAGGCAAAAATGTGGTGATTGTCAGAGCTTGTGAAGGAAGAGCTGTTTTCCCACGACTGGTAGACATTTCTGAAATGTGAACATCTACTATGTTACTTGAGGTCAAGGTAGGTGTAGTCTGTGTGCTCCTGGAAGTGGGAGATGAAACTGAATTCCCATCAGGTGGAATCCCAAGTGTAATCTCTGAAGGTGAATGTGTTTGGTGACTGGAAATTTTTGTGGTCTCATAAAATCCTGCATCTGTCATTTCCAAGGATGAAGTACCCTGGGAATGTGAAATAAAAGAATTCCTTGATGAGGATATTTCTGTCACCTCCATAGTTCTAGGGGTTTTCACCAGGGAAATGGTCATCTGGTCTTTGTCAGAAGATAAGATAGAAGTGCCAGTCACCAATTGGCTGGAGACTGGCGTGCTTACAAGACTTGTGGCAGATTGAGAAATGTGATCATCTATTGAGGTAGTAAGCTCATTGGCAGAGGTTTGTGAGAATATGATCTCATCAACAACAGAGGTCTCTGTGGTGTCAGTAGCCAAGCCGACAACATCTCCACCAGCACTGAAAGTATACGGAAAGCTGAGAGCATAGGTAGAAGTCTTCTCCGCTTGAGATACAGGTTGAGTCGTTCCTGGTATAGATGTGGTTGAGATCACATGAGTGGAGGATGCAATAGGAATGTTGTTAGGAGGAGATTTCAAGCAGTCAAGAGTGTGTGTGGATGGAATTACTTTGTCAACTGAGGTGAAGGGAAGAGTGATCTCAGCCTTAGCTGTCACAGGAGTGGGGGTTTTCAGCGAGGGGAGTGGAGTTTCTGTCAGAGAGGGAACTGCCGTGGGTGTCATTCTGACAGAGATCACTGTGGCCTGTGAAGTGGTATGAATCAAGTCTCTGTGGGTAGGCATGGTATCGCTGGTTGCAGAAGCAGTCTGATCCAATGGTGGCACCAATGCTCTGGTCACTGTAGTTGATGATGGATTTGAAACATCTGAGAGCATAGATGTAGAGAAAGCCCTAGCCACTGTAGAAGGCTCAGACATGGTCCCCTTAATCTCCTCAGACACCACAGCAGAGACATTAACTGGCAGTGAGAACATATGGGTAACAGGCATAAGGGTTGCTGAGGAATGAGCAGCTGTAGGCTTTGGAGGCAAGATACCGGCAGACAAGGACATAGTTGTCACGTCTTTAAGGGTAGTGGGGAAACTGGTCTCCAATATCCTTGTGGTGGAAGCACCCAGGGGTTCAGGGAATATCCGTGTGCTCCCGGAAGTAGGAGATGGAGTTGAAGTCCCTTTAGATGTCTCTGAAGTCCAATGTGCTGTATAGGTGTGGGTAGAATTAAAGATTTCTGTAATTCTATTGTATGAACTCTTAGGTGTGGTTTTCACCAATTTTGTTAATAGCCAACTTCCTCTCACCTCAGTAGTTGCAGTTTTATTATCCAATGGAGTAGTCAATTTTTCTATATCAGGAAAAGAGGAAAGAGTGACAGAGGCTGTCACCATTTGTGCTGAATCATCTGTCACTTCCAACATTGCTGAAAATGGAGAAACCTCAGTTACCCCTGCTATAGTGGATTTTCCCTTAAGATAATCAGAAGTTGTTTCTTTTCTTGTCACAGTAGCATTAAGTCTTTGAGTTGTTGTAGACTTTGGTATAGGGGCTGTTGTATCTCCAAAGGCAATTGTACCATTTGTTTTTGTTTGTGTAGTCTCAGAAGCACTTTCTTCAGTAGAAAAATTTGGTTTAATGTCAGCAAGAGTAGATATTATATCTACTGGTGAAACAACTGTGTCCCTTGGTGTTGAATGAAGTTCATTTGCAGCTACTGTGGACATAGGGATGGTTTTTAAAAGTAAAGTAGTAAGTTTAAACTCAGGCATATTGGTTACAGATGTGGTTCCAGAAACTGTGGAGAACTTAGCAAACCATGGAGATGTCAATTTGGGTAGAGCTGTTGTATATCTGCCTGTAGTAGCATCAGTGGTAGTGGTAGCCTCACTCTCTGTGGCTGCTTCCAGTGGGGTGATAATATTAGTAGTTGTGGATGAATGTTCTGTATTACTCCCGTGGAATGCTGATGTGAAATTTTCATTAGGCACAAATGTAAGTATGGTGGTTGTATTCGTAGATGTCAACAGGGTCTGGTCTGGCCTGGAAGTCCAAGTGGTCTCATTGGTGGAGAATAGATAGGCAGCTTCATGAGTTATAGATGTGGGAACTGACTCAGATATCTTGGATTTGGAAGCCGATCTAGTGGAAACCAAAGTATGCATGTGTTCACCAGCTGTGGGTGTATTCTGGGTATATACTGGCCCTGTGATTGTGGGGAAAAGCATAGTTTCAGCCTCTATAGGCGCAAGTGTGATTCCAGAAGTCAAGGCCGTGTGTGTCATTTCAGCACCAATAACGGTCTGTACACTTTGAGTTTCAGTAAACATAAAGGATGTTATGAAAGAAAGGGCCATAGAGGAGGTGTTTTTTGGCATGGAGGTAGACATGACATCTTCCACTTGGGGTGAGGAGACATCCTGAAAATTTGTAGATGTCAATTCTGTTTCAGCTATTCCTAGGGCAGGAGTGGTCTCAATGAATCTAGTTGGGAGAGTCACTGAATGGACTGTAAATGCTGCCTCCACATCAGTTTTTGCCAATGTAGATGCTGTCTGATTTCTAGGAAATACAGAATCTGCTGGAACAGCTGTGGAGATAAGCACAGACTCAGGTGGAAATGCTGATGCAGTCCCAATGTGAGAAGTTGTAGCTGAAGTCTCTTCCACTGTGGACCAAGGTACAGTTTCAGCAGCTGTAGATGCAAGAAACTTCTGGCGAGCTGTGGAGACAGGGAGTGCCCAAATATCTGTGGATTTGTGTTTGAGCCAAGATGTTGTAGACATGGACGTTGACTCAATAGTTGAGAATAAAGACATCTTCACAACAGCCGACTGAGATTCAATAGCTGAAGTTTTAGATACATTTGAATTCTTGGTAAATCCAAATGTGGATAGGAAATTAGTAGCTGTATTTGGATGAAAGGTCTCAGTAGCCTTGGCTTCAGCCATTTTTGTTGTCCTTGTGCTTTCTGAAGATGGAGATTCAGTTATTTTCATGGAAATGGTGGTAGTGTCTATGGATGTATTCTGGATAGGCAGAGTGACAGATGCTGAAGCAGATAAAACATCTGCTGCAAGTGTAGCCGTCTCAGCCATGGATGTCGTAAAAATTTTTGGTGCAGTTGTTGCTTCCAGACGTGGAAATGTTGTATTTAAATATGATATGCTTGTATAATCAGTAGCAAATATAGGCATGCTTTTAGACAACATTGTAGAGGAATGTGCAGTCTTTTGTGGTTTTAGTCCAGTAATTCGGGCTGGAGTTGTCAAATCTGTTTGTTGTGAAAGAGTCGCACTTGTTTCTTGAATTGTCACATTTTCAGAAACAACTGAAAAATCAGAAAGCATGTGTTACTTTGGATTCAGCTTTAGAAATCAGAAACAATTTTTTATGAGTGCTATAATTTCTTTTCATTTTTAAAGAAAGGTAAGTATCATGGATATAATCAAATTGTTTGATTACTTGATTTTTCTTAAGATAATTTTCTACTTTCTAAAATCTCTATATGGCTCTCATAACACCCTGGTTAAGTAACTAGTTGGAGGACATTCATTCCATAGTATCTCCATAATAAACACTCCTAAAAGAGGGACGCATACTAGAGTAGTACACTGATTAAGAGGATTAGCTTTTGGAAAGGGGCCAATTCCTTGAAAGACACAGCTACCAAAACTCACTTAAGAAGAAACAGATAACTTGAATAGTTCTATGTCTATTAAAGAAATTGAATTGTGTAATTTAAAATCTTCCAAATAAGAGAATCAGCTTTAAATTCAAATAGATGTAGTTTTAAATCCTGTCTCCATCACTTTCACACTCATTATGTAACCTTGGACTAGTTATTATACTTACCCTCTATGTGCTTCAATTTCCTCCTCTGTAATGTGAGGATTATACTAACACCTACCTTATAAAATTGCTGTGAGACTTAAGTGAGTTAATGTGCGTAAAACACTTAGCATAGTTTCTGGCACACAGTAAGTGCTCAAAAAATAGTTGACTTTGACTTGGTCAAATTTCCATCACTCATTTAAACACTACAGATTGAAAATATTTTTATCCGGAACTCCTGGATTAAAATTTCTTTACTAGTAGTAATGAGTTGAAAATACTCTTTTCATTGGCTTCCATTACACAACACATTCTTGGGTTTTCTCTCACTTCCCTGGCCACTTGTTTGCGGACTCATCTTATTTTACCTGGCCAAGGCTTTGTCCCAGTTCCTCTTCTCTTCTCATTCTATGGTTTTCCTATACCTAAGATTTCAATTTACAACTATACACAGGTGAATCTCAGAGTTATATCTCTAGACCAGATCTCTATTTTGAGCTTCGCATTTATATGACCAATTGCTTACTTGGCATCATTTCTTGGATACCTCGTTAATGCCTCAAACTCAACATACCCTAACTTGAACTCATTATCTTGTCTCCAGAGTGGGTCTTCTTCTGGTATTCCCTAGTGGATGGCAACACCACACATTCAATTATATAAGCTAAAACCCTCTCCTTCTGTCGACTTCATTCTCTCTCTCACCTGCCATAGCCAACCCATAATCTTGTCCTGTGGATCTTAGCTCCTAACTATCTCTTGACTCCATCAATTTCTCTCCATTTCCATCACTTACCATCCTGACCAACCACCTTCACCTTTCACTCAGACTACTGCGGTGGCTTCCCAACTGAACTCTCTGTCACTACTCTTGGGCTCCCTCCAGTCTGTTCCATGATGTAACCAGAATGATCTTTTTAAAATGCAAATCTTATCATGTCACACACGCACACGCACACACACTCACACACTCGGCTCTTTTTAGAGGCTTTCCGTTGCTTATAGGATAAAAAAAAATTATTTATTTTTATTTTTTTTAGAGATAAGGTCTCACTTTGTTTCCCAGGCTGGAGTGCAGTGGCCTGGTCATACCTCACTGTAACCTTGAACTCCTGGGTTCAAGCAATCCTCCTGCCTCAGCCTGCCAAGTAGCTGGGATTGCAGGTGTGCACAACCATGGCTGACTAATTATTTTTTTATTATTTTTTATAAAGATGGGGTCTCACTATGTTTCCCAGGCTGCTCTCAAACTTCTGGCCTCAAGCGATCCTCCCACCTTGGCCTCTCAAAGTGCTGGGATTACAGGCATGAGCCACTGTTCCCAGATGAAAAATATTTTTTAATAGAGCCTATAAAGCTATATGGTTTGGTCCCTAACTTCCTTTGCAGTCTCAATTTGTGCTAAATGTCCTCTTATTTTCTCGCCTTCAGCCCCCAGCCTCTTTTTAGTCCTCCAATACGTGGAATTCTCTTTCCCATCACAAGACCATTGCATGTGCTGTAACCTCTACTTAGACTGTTCTTCCCACTCTTCTTCATCTGATTAACTTCTACACATCCTTTAAATCTCAGTTGAAGCGTCACCCCTTCGGGGAAGCCTACCTTCCCTGACCTCCATGACTAGATCAAATCAATCTATTCTATGCTCTTATGACACCTCACATCTCTTTTTTGTGGAACGTGGAATGTGTCATAACTACAGTTTGACATTTGTTTGTATGTGCTTATTAATGTCTGTCTTCCTCACTAGACCATTATGGGCAGGGCCCTCATCTTTCGTTGCTCACCATTGAATCTCCAGTGCCTGGCACATGGTAGATGTTCAGTACCTATTTGTAGACTAACTGAAGGATAGAAATAAAGAGGGCTCAGAATGACATGAGAGCAGTGTGAGGATCCCTAACCCCACAGGTATTGGAAAGGAAGAATAGACAGGGACGATAACAAAGAGGCTTAAGAAATAAAGAAGACATAGAATTCTCAGAGAACTCAAATTTTGCTTTTGGGCAACTCAGAGAATAGTGGTGATATTCATAGAAATAGGAAAATTGGGAAGGAAGCCTCACTCAGAAGAAAAATATCCAGTTCAGACTTGGATAAGTGGAATTTGGGGTGATGGTGGAACATCCAAGTGAAAATGGTGCATAGTAAAATTCAAGATGGAGTCATAATCTTTCTCTAATTCAAATCACCCAAAATGAAATCATGCATATTTACCTTAGGAAAATTATCATTTTGAATTTATCCACCTGAGAAGCATATTACCTATGTAGGAATGCTTGTAGTGGTAGACAATTTACTAATTTGTTTCACTGTCCTGAGCATTAAAATTGCTTTTAATTTGCACATCCAGGATTTCTGAGGTGTGTGTAGGATGTTCTTTAGGATTTTGTGGTCATTACCAAGTAGAATGAGTGACAATCAGAAGTCTACCATTGACTGTATAGATGGATTGATAAAAGTACACATATTTATAAGGGGAAAAGTCAAAGCTATATAAAAAGCACTTTTTCCACTTAATTTTATGACATGGTTTCAATTATCACAGATTCACATTATGTTAAGCCTTATCAAGAAAAAACTAGTATATTACAGTATCACAATATGTATTTCAAACTTTCTGCTTTCAAATTTGTCCACAACTGTAAGTAAAAGGAGAATCGTCAGGATCTTGGTTTCCATTTTTGCAAATGGGTTTATATCAGCCCGTTGGCTTAGCAAACCTCTGTGAAAGTGTCACTTCTAGCACATTGGAGGAGTGGGGCATTCCAGAGCCTGAATCACTCTGTGGATGCACTAATTGTTGAGACAAGGTTTCATGATTCCCACTCCTTTACAATTAATGATTGACCTGCATTCACTTTTTAGGAAAACAATAAAACACTAAATACCACAAAAACCTAAGTTATCTTCTTTGATGCAGCATTCAAAGAGAAGCTAGCAGAGTAATCTATAATAAGTAAGGGAAAACTCTTTTATAAGACAGGGGATGGGAGTCAGGCTTGATATTTTTTATCAGAGAGGGCGGAGCCACAGATGTAGCAATTGTTATTAACACTTCCAGTATACATCTCAAAAAGGAACATACGATTTAGAAAAATAAAAACAAATGAGTTGCACAAAATTACCAAGCAGGTGGCATTTCAAGTACTAGAGATCTCTTAGGAAATAATGCATTTTACATTGCTCCATTTTAACCTGAAGCCTGAGTTTGTATATTTCAGCAAACCTCCTATTAAATCTTTCCAATGCAAGATTTCTTCCAGAGGGACTGCTGTATCAAATTTTTTTCCTCTAAAGTCATTATTAACAAAGACTCAAATCTTCATTCATTAAAATTCCAAAATTTTATAACCAGGTCTTGGAGATTGTATTCAATCCTTTCATTTAGAGATGAGGCCCAGAGAGGTGCAATATTGAAAAGATGAGATTTTCACATTTAGAGAAGAAATAAGACAGTATGTAGCAATGCCTCAATTATCTAGCACCTGTAAACACATATTCTCGATTTACATGGAACCACCCCAATCCCAGGAGGAAGAAATGAACAAACTTTGCCTGAAAGAACCAAGGAGAAACAAACTTAGATACTAAAAACCACATTCTGCAATTGCTGAATAGGAACAGTGCAAGAAACAGGAATCACCTAAACAGTGAAACACAAACCTTAGAGTAGAGCATCACAATGCTAAATTAAAAATTAAGGTGTTCTTGCTAGCCCAGGAATCAAAACCCAGTGGGGATCCCAAATTACAGCATTCCCCGATATAATATCTGCCTTGACAAATCATTCATATCCCAGATAAAGACAACCCCATCAAACAACAGTAGCTTTTTAGAACTAAGATCTATTGGAATTAAAGATTCTTAAAAACTCTAAGTCTAGAAATTAATTACAATGGGTTAGCAAACATATTCAAGACCACTATTGTGTAATGTAGGTTGACAATGAATATAAAAAACTTAACTTTCTTATTGGTGTCCATATTGTCTTAATCTATATATACTTTTGTTTTTCTTAAATTCAGTAATTCAGACTTTCTGTGCACCCATCATTTCTAACAAGTGAGGTTCACTGTACTTAAGCTTCATCAATCTTCCTCTTTTCTCTATATGTGGTGGGGATTTTTATTTTTTTGGTCCCTAAATGGTACACTTATCTCCTTTGAATTTAATGCCTGTCCTTCTCAGAAAAGAAAATGTAAGTGATTGGGGTAGTTACAATGCCAGACATATTATCTCTGTCATTTTGCTGTCCCCTATTTGTCTATACACACACACACACACACACACACACACACACGCACGAGCTTTTATCTCCCAAGAATTGATGTTAAAAGCAAATGTAGACTTCCCAACTGAACAGCATTGCACAGACCCACTTTTCCCTACCCCTCCCCAGAAAGTACAACTATAAGTCCTGGAAATGGTGTAAGAGACAACCAAAGGAGAACTATGGAAGGTGCTAAGAAGAAAGCAAACTGGTTTGGGACTCCA